AGCAACCTCCAACTCCTGGGCTTAGGTAATTCTCTTGCCTCAGCCCCCCGAGTAGCTGGGATTACAGGCGCCCGCCACAACGCCTGGCTATTTTTTTTGTTGCAGTTTGGCCGGGGCTGGGTTTAAACCCACCACCCTCCGTATATGGGGCCAGCCCCCTACTCACTGAGCCAGAGGCGCCGCCCTTCCCTTGTTCTTTTTGACCAACTCTGCTTTGTGATCTCTGGGTTCTAAGTTTTGTTTCACCAGAAAAGTAGCTTTGACCACACCTGAGTGAGCAAGGAGTTGTGCTTTGCTTCTAGCATGGTGATCTGGAACCTGGACATGGAACTGCAGCTCTGGGGCACTTTCTCAGGTGAAAGACTCCTGCCTGCTTGGGCAGAGGTACCCAGTGGCCCAAGGCTATAATGTGCAGTGTTGTTAAAGCCTAGGCTCCCAGGAGGCCATGGGGCACCTGCAGTGGTTGATGTTATACACCATGCTGCCCTTTGAAGGCATTGGTGGAATAATGGTCCCCAGCTCTGGGCTGGTCCTAGCCTCTGGAGTCTCAGCCACCTCCAGGCCTGTAATACACAAGGTCAGTGGCTGTGTGGGCCTCTGGCCGAGGGCTGTGGACGACAGCCAGTCTGTGGGCTGGGTACCACGTGGCCCCACAGGCATGCAGAGTGGAAAGTCCCTGGCTGCGCCCTTTGAGAGCTCTGGAAAGTCCCTGAAAGGAGTCAGGTTTGGTCATGGGGAGGGGGGCGGACTCTGCTCTGGAATAGTTCTGTGGTGGTTTTGATTTTATTAATAAAACTTCTCACTGGCTATAAATGTCACAGCAGGGCCTGAGATCCAGTCTCCTGTGTACAGTTGGGGTCTTCCTCTGCAGAGTGGCCCTGCCCCTCATCTCACCAGCCCTGCATTTGCCGTGGCTGGGTCACCCAGCATGCCACCCATTGGGATGTTACTGTGAAAACCGATGCTAGAGATGAAGCTTTCTTTTCCTTGAATAGTATGAATTGTTGTGAGAAGGGGGAAAGTGTTTTGTTTAGCTTTCTTCTTTTTCCTTTGCAATTATGCTTTTGTAAGAACTGAATGATTTTAAAACTAAAAAATATTGATGGTGTGCCTGGTCTGTGTTGGTAGTAAACTGAATTTCACAGCAACCCTGGAGCTGCAGGTGCACAGAGGAGGGGCAGGGGAGGTGTGTGGGAAAACTTTCGGAGAATATGAAGGTCAGCCCCGATAGCCGCTGAAGGGGCAGGTCAGATATGCTTGGCCTCATTGCATGTTCTGGTGAAATTCAAGGTACAGGGACTGTATTGGCTTAAAACAGTGGTTCTCAACCTTCCTAATGCAGTGGCCCTTTAACACAGTTCTTGTGGGTAGCAACCTGCAGGTTGAGAACCGCTGGTTTAAAACCTTTGGTTCACATTTTGGTTGAATAAATACTAGTTTCTTTGAAATGTGTGTGCTGGGGCAGAGAGAAGACATCTTGTTCATATTATGTAAGGGTGGTGGCACAGGCGTATCTGCTGCTGGACAACCCTGGGTTCAATGGGGAATTTCAAGTATGGTCCTGGAAGAAAGATTTTTTGATTGAAATTTCAAACATACAGCTCGTCTGAACAGTGTGGGTGCGAGCAGAGGCCACTGCTGGGAGTGCCCCGTGCTCTGTCTGTGCAGCACTGCCAGCCTTCTACAGTGTTTACCTGCTGCTCGCCCATGTTTTACCTTTCTAGATTTTTTTTTTTTTTTGAGACAGAGTCTCACTTTGTTGCCCTCTGTAGAATGCTGTGGTATCATAGCTCACAGCAACTTCAAACTCTTGGGCTTAAGCAGTTCTCTTGCCTAAGCCTCCCAAGTAGCTAGGACTATAGGTGCCCATCACAACACCCGGCTATTTTTTGTTGGTGGTTGTCGTTGTTTAGCAGGCCTGGGCCGGGTTTGAACCCCCTGGCCCCAGTGTATATGGGCTGGCGCCCTAACCACATATCTACAGGTGCTGAGCCTCTAGGTTGTTTCATTTATTTATTTTTTATTAAATTATAGCTGTGTACATTAATGCAGTCAAGGGGTACAATGTGGTGGTTTTACATACAATTTGAAATATTTTCATCAAACTGGTCACCTTAGCCTTCATGGCATTTTCTTAGTTATTCTGTTAAGACATCTATATTCTGCATTCAGTAAGTTTCACATGTACCCTTGTAAGATGCACCATAGGCGTGGTCCCACCAATCACCCTCCCTCTACCCATCCCCCCCTTTCCCTTTCCCCATATTCTTGGGCTATAATTGGGTTATAGCTTTCATATAAAATCTATAAATAAGTTTCATAGTAGGGCTGAGTACATTGGATACTTTTTCTTCCATTCTTGAGATACTTTGCCAAGAAGAATATGTTCCAGCTCCATCCATGTAAACATGAAGGAAGTAAAGTCTCCATCTGTCTTTAAGTCTGCATAATATTCCATGGTATACATATACCACAATTTATTTGATCCGTTCGTGGGTCAATGGGCACTTGGGCTTCTTCTATGACTTAGCAATTATGAATTGGGCTGCAATAAACATTCTGGTACAAATATCTTTGTTATAGTGTGATTTTTGGTCTTCTGGATATATACCTAGTAGAGGAATTATAGGATCAAATGGCAGGTCTATTTTTAGTTCTCTTAAGTGT